AAAAAAAAAAAAAAAAAATTAGGCGGGCATGGTGGCATGCGCCTGTAGTCCCAGCTACTCAGGAGGCTGAGGCAAGAGAATCGCTTGAAACCAGGAGGGAGAAGTTGCAGTGAGCCAAGATTGTGCCACTGCACTCCAGCCTGGGCGACAGAGCAAGACTCTGTCTCAAAAAAAAAAAAACAAACAAACAGGAAAGCTAGGCCTGGCCAGGTGTGGTGGCTCACGTCTATAATCCCAGTGCTTTGGAAGCCAAGGCAGGAGGATTTTTTGAGCCCCAGGAGTTTGAGACCAGCCTTGGCAACACATCAAGACTCTATCTCTATAAAAAACAAGAAAATTAGGCCAGGAGCAGTGGTTCACACCTGCAATCCCAGCACTTTGGATTCAAGACAATCTGCCTGCCTGGGATTGCCTGAGCTCAGGAGTTTGAGACCAGCCTAGGTGACATGGTGAAACCCCGGCTCTACAAAACAAAACCAAAAATATTGGCCAGGCGTGGTAGCACAGGCCTATAGTCCCAGCCACTTGTGAGGCTGAGGTGGGAAGATGACCTGAGCCAGGAGTTTGAGGCTGCAGTGAGCTATGATGGTGCCCACTGCACTCCAGCCTGTGCCACAGAGTGAGACCCCGTCTCTAAAAAAGAGAAGACAAGAAAAGCTAGGCCTGCTCTTACCCGCAAAGCCTCCAGGGCCAGGACTACCTTTCAACTAATACCACCTTTCCACCTTTCCAGATATGGTATCAGAACCAGTTCTTTTTTTTTTTTTTTTTTTTTTGAGACGGAGTCTCGCTGTGTCGCCCAGGCTGGAGTACAGTGGCACGATCTCAGCTCACTGCAACCGCCACCTCTTAGGTTCAAGCGATTCTCCTGCCTCAGCCCCCGAAGTAGCAGGGATTACAGACGTGCACCACTACGCCTGGCTAATTTTTGTATTTTTATTTATATTTGTTTTTTTTGTTTTTTTTTTGAGATGGAGTTTCCCTCTTGTCGCCCAGGCTGCAGTACAATGGTGCAATCTCCACTCACTGCAACCTCCACCTTCCGGATTCAAGCGATTCTCCTGCCTCAGCCTTCCAAGTACCTGGGATTACAGGGGCCCACCACCACGCCCAGCTAATTATTTTTATTTTTATTGTATTTTATTTATTTTTTTTGAGATAGAGTCCAGCTCTGTCACCCAGGCTGAAGTGCAATGGTACGATCTTGGCTCACTGCAACCTCCGCCTCCCAGACTCAAACGATTCTCCTACTTCAGCATCCTGAGTAGCTGAGACTACAGGCATACACCACCGCACCCAGCTAATTTTTGTATTTTTAGTAGAGATGGGGTTTCACCATTTTGGTCAGGGTGGTTTTGATCTCTTGACCTTGTGATCCCCCTGCCTCAGCCTCCTAAAGTGCTGGGATTACATGCGTGAGCCACCATGCCCGGCCTATTTTTTTGTATTTTTAGTAGAGAGAGGGTTTCACCATGTTGGCCAGGCTGGTCTCGAACTCCTAACCTCAGGTGATCCACCTGCCTCAGCCTCCCAGACTGCTGGGATTACAGGCATGAGCCACCACGTCCAGCTAATTTTTGTATTTTTAGTAGAGATGGGGTTTCACCATGTTGGCCAGACTGGTCTCAAACTCCTGACCACCGGTGATCCATCTGCCTCGGCCTCCTAAAGTGCTGGGATTACAGGTGTCAGCCACTGTACCCAGCCCAGCCGAGAATGTCATTGAAGGAACAAGAGCCCTTTCTGGAGACCTCCTTGAAGCCAATACAGGTGCCCTGGAGCCAAGGATCTCTGTCCCTAGCTTGTCCAAACCCCAAGAGTTACAATGTTCAGAGCCCCCGCATCTCCTAAAGTGTTCAGAAAGTCCAAGCAAGAGAGGCAATCAGGTACTCACCGAAGTACTCCCACCCCCACCCCAAGTCAGCTTTTAAACTGTCAATCAAAATCCAAGCCCCAGAGCAGGGGAAGTTGTTCATACCTGTAATCCTAGCACTTTGGAAGGTCCAAGCAGGACGATCACTTGAGGCCAGGAGTTTGAGACGAGCTAGGGCAACATAGAGAGACCCTGTCTCTCTGAAGGTTTTTTTTTTTAATTAGCCAGCCATGGTGGTGAAAGCCTGTAGTCCCAGCTTCTTGGGAGGCTGAGGAGGGAGCCTCAACTTCTTGAGCCCAGGAGTTCAAGACTGTAGTGAGCTATGATCACACCACTGTACTCCAGCCGGGTGACAGAGCGAGACCCAGTCCCCAGTCTCTAAAACAAAAGCAAGCAAAAAAAAAACAAAAAAAAAACAAAAAAATCTGAGCCCCAAAGTGGGAAGGTGAAGGAATGGGGGAGCAATTACTAACTCTTGGGCTAGGACAGTTCACCGCTGGATAAATGCCCTCTAAAAAGCTCAGCCCGCAGCCTTCCTGGCCTCACATGTTCTCCAGAGCATCACAGTCCGGCCTCTGCAGGCCAGATAAGCAAGTATTACCCAAAGGCAGGGGCCCAAGAGGAAGACTGCAGGCCTGAGATAACACCCATAGGGCAGTGGCCGGGCCTGACACAGGGTGCCTGCTGCTGTCCCTCCCAAGTCCCTGCAACCAGAACCTTCAGCTCAGAGGCCAAAGGGGAAGCGGCTGGGCTCTTTACGGGAAGGCGGGCAGAGGCGTCCTTTCCTCCAGCCCAGCCCCTCTGAGGATAGGTCTTTACAATTTCCTTTTTTTTTCTTTTAAGACAGGGTCTTGGCCGGGCGTGGTGGCTCACACATGTAATCCCAGCACTTTGGGACACGGAGGTGGGCAGGTCACCTGAGGTCAGGAGTTCAAGACGAGCCTGACCACATGGAGAAAACCCGTCTCTACTAAAAATACAAAAAAATTAGCCAGGCATATTGGCGCATGCCTGTAATTCCAGCTACTTGGGAGGCTGAGGCTGGAGAATCGCTTGAACCTGGGAGGCACAGGTTGCGGTGAGCCAAGATCGCGCCATTGCACTCCAGCCTGGGCAACAAGAATGAAACTCCATCTCAAAAAAAAAAAAAGACAGGGTCTTGGCCGGGCGTGGTGGCTTATGCCTGTAATCCCAGCACTTTGGGAGGTCAAGGTGGGTGGATCACCTTAAGTCAGGAGCTCGAGACCAGCCTGGCTAACATGGCAAAACCCCGTCTCTACTAGAAGTACAAAAATTACTCAGGCATGGTGGCGGGCGCCTGCAATCCCAGCTACCTGGGAGGCTGAGGCAGGAGAATCGCTTAAACCTCAGAGACGGAGTTTGCAGTGAGCTGAGATCATGCCACTGCACTCCAGCGTGGGTGACAGCGAGACTTCATCCCAAAAAAAAAAAAAAAAAAA